AAATTTTAAATTATCATTTTAAGTCTGACAATTTTTGCAATAATGTATAGGACCGTCACCACCTAATTTAAAAAAGTGATTCATGCAAAATGACGTCGTACGCCAACTGCACCTTGTTATAGCTATTTCACCAGACTTTTCACATAATAAATTGTAATTATCCAAACAATATTAAACTGGAGTTTCATATTTTCGTGGTACTTCGGTTATGCACTCGCTTTTGTTCCATGCTTATTAAAACATGTTGCTAAATCGTGGTGATGAAAATAAGTTGTGTACACGAGACTGTAACTTTGAAATATCATTGCTACTGTCTAAGTTAATATTAAATAAATGTAGCATTATAAGAATACGGAAATACTTAACAAAGTTCTTTCACGGGCGAAAACCATACGCACCGAGTGGCTAAACCATTCCAGTTGTACCTGCTGGTGATAACTTTTACTTTTTCTTTATTCATTTCATCAGTAACAAACTTTTTCTAGCCTTGAACACTCTAAGAATTTATAAATAATAAGGAATCATCACCAATGTTCACTAAAAATATCTCTTTGAACCACTTTATTAATAAATCTGCTGTTAGCATACCAGATGTTTAGGCAAACACTATAATGTTGATAGCTGTAAATAAAGTTTCTTCGACCATAGGACTAAACTATCTTTTGTTTTCTTGCATGACCATAAATAAAAGTGTCTTTAAAAGACCCTTAGCTAAAACAAACGGCTGGTTCGTGTAACTATGTATTAAAAAATTAGGTGATTAAGCTAATAATTGAACTTTAAGGGTTCCAATAAACAATAAAGTTCACTCTACGTGCATGTCTAAGAAGAATTCAGATTGATCAGAATTATATGTATTACTTGGAAATGAACATTTCTGATTTTACTTCGCTTACAAAATCCTTTGTCTTTTGAACTGATTCTTTTTTTCTTGTTGGCTTAGATTTGGTAATCAACTGATTAATTTTTCTTGATAGGGTTCTGTGTTCCTTTTTAAGATTTTATATGAATTTTGGAAATGCTTGAAAGATTTTATCGCATGAACCAATTTTTTTGCTAGCATCGAAGGCCGACTTTTTTAGATCATGGATACAGTGAAATGTTGAAGAGCACCTTTAAAGCGTTATAATGTGTAACTTAATATGTTCTTCAATTTTTTTAACCGTAAGCCACTTTCAGAAACTCGTGTCTCTTATCTTCATAAGTGACACCTGTTCTTTACTTTTTTTAAATGATCTTAAACAGTCTTAAATTTCTTTTGTCATTTTTCAGACTTTCAAATCTCTACAGCTTGTTTTTTATAATTAAAATCAATGTAGGATGTACACTTTCCGTTTTCACCAATAAACTTTTCCTCACCATCATTAATGTCGTTTTCAACTACACAAGCATAAGGGAGCAGACTTGACTCTTTAAAATTTAAGGTTTTAAGACTTTCAACGAATACTTTTGCATTCATTAAATCTTGTATTATAGATTTAAGATATGACGCAAATTCTCATTCTTCTACAGAAATAATAGATTCAATTTGATATTCAGGACCACTAAAACTTTATGTCAGTAGCTTCATTATGTTTTAAAATTCATTGTCATATTATGAAAAAATAATACACAAATAGACACGAAAAAGTCACACAGTTGTATGACATGTAAAGATAAATTTAACATCGCTGTTTTATTTTTTAAAGTATCAGAAATTACTGGAATTACATAATGAACGTATGTAAAGAGTTAAAGCCATACAATTGCTCGAATCCTCTAACAAGTACTCTAAAAGAAAGACAGTATTATTTGCAAGTATCATGGATAATCGTTCCGACAGATAACTAATACTAAAAGTTTAAATCCTAATTTTTTCATTGTTCAAAAGTAAAAAAATCATTTTAGCATGCCCCAGGGCACAGACGGGGGTTGATTAGCTCAAAAAAATGTGAATGACTAGCTTTCATACTCATGAGCTGATCGGCCATCGTACTATTATGAGTGCCTAAAAGATGCGATTGATGTATGTTAACGCCCTAGTCGCGTATAATGTTCTTTTTACCAAGGGCACTCAGTGAAATTTTGCAACCGTGAACACACTTTGTGCCCAGTAAATCACTTCAGGCCCCAGGGCAGAAAGTTGTATGGCCGGAAGGGCACAATAACTTTCTGCCCATGGGCCCCAAGTATGTACAAGGGCACAAAGTGTGGCCCGAGGTTGCTAAGTGACACTTTAGGTCCATAGTAAGAAATAGTAGTCTTTGTCGGATAAAAGCGTTGTCTCCTGGGCTATTTTGCGGCCCGAAGGACCTACGAAGCAGGGCCAGAGGGACCTAAGGTAGCCGTGGAGTGATGGCGCTTGTGTGGTGAATACTATTTTTCCTATAAAGCCCTTGTCCTTTTTTCTCAGAAATGGCAAATTCGATGGCATTCGAAAAATGAGAAAAATGAGTTTAAAACTTATTAGTTTTATGAAAAACATTGAGTAAACTTTTTATCGAAAATTCTGTAAATTTAAAAAACATATTTGGCCACACAGCATCCCTAATAACCTCTTTTGCTCTTTGATCTTAAGTTTGTATTAAGCAATTAAAAAAGCAGTACAATTCTTATTTACATTATTTACTATGCATTTTCATTGTCAGATTTAACGAAAAAACGTGACTTTCTAACTTTGGGTCCAGTTTTAGTCCTGTTTCTGGTCGATTACCATTACGTGATAAGTTTTGTTTAAAGTAAGATAAAAAATGATAAATTAAGAACTGAAAACAAAAAAAGTGTTATAACCTGACTTAATCAGAGTTTGGTCTTAACTGTTTTTTATTTAAGTGCTATTCAAGGGGTTCTTAGATTTCAGCTCGTAAGCTTTATCTGCTCTATTTTTTAGTATTGAATAATAATCTTTATCTTAATAATGTGGGTAATTCATGTATTTCTTTATTAAAGCAATTTAATAATAATTGTTTCTTTTGAATACAATTAAATTGGGTCACTTTAACGAGATTCAGCGTAAATTTTATTACTCATATTTTACTTACATCTATCACTGATTATTGTTACTGCTGCTTCGGAGTTCCCTAATACTTCGTGCCGTAACCGTCAGTGTTTTCTTAAGCTACACAAACGAGGTCGTGGCCAGTAGGATGTTGCGATTTCTGCTTTCTTTGCTATTGCCGGAATCACTTTCAGCGGGACTCCTTTGCTGTACCTGGCTTCTTAGCGTAGTCTGATACTATTGATGTCCTTGATACGCACTCGAGTTGACTGAGCCAACATGTTATGCCTTACGTATATAATGTACTCACGAGTCACAAGATTTGAGAGTTGACTAAAACTTTAAAGGATACGTGATAGACGTGAAGAAAGCGCTTTTTCCTCTCGATTGTGCATTTTTATAGCATCAGAGGATGTAAAAGAGGCCTTTAGTTTAAATAGGTCAACCACTAAGCGATGATCTTGTAGACTGCGTTGACAGTTGCACGATGATGTTACACGTCATGATTTTTGTTAGCAGGATGGGCTTATGAGTAGGAAACTGGGCAAATAAAGGTACAGCAGTCGTAATTTATAATTAAACACAGACACATTTATTGTCTACTATCTTAATTCTTAAATATCTTCAACACTTTACTATCTTAAGTTTAGTAGCTAAACGAACAGAAAAGTTAGGATGAAATATAAAGGTAATAGGAAGACAGAGAGTGCGTGTACGAACAGACTGCCTAACCACACGAGAGTGAGCAAACTGTAGTTATTTGAAGCTGAAGAGCACCGTCACGGTGTCTTGTCTTTTTGCTGTTGTGCATGCATGATAATTCAGTTACGAGCGCTAACAATACATCTAACACTTCCTTTCGTTCGTATCTAAATTTAATAAAATTAAAAGAAAGGACATATTTGAATTATAACACTCAGTATAAATGGATAATGAATTAGCTGAGGATGTAGAGCACGTGGGCTTCTTAATCACTCATTGTGAATGATTGCGATGAGCTAAAACATACACAGAAAAATACATTAATTAGCATGTCTACTATCTTTATCCATCTATTATCCATTTATTAATTTTACTATCTTAAGTTCAAGTTTAATTATCATGTAATTTACAGTAGTTAACATTAAAAATTTCTTTCGTGAGTCTTTCATGCAGTTCGAACGGCAGGGGTTTTGTAAAAATATCTGCTAAATGTTCCTTGGATGGAATCCATTTAACGATTATTTTTTCTCTGGATACACATTCCTTCACGTAGTGAGCCCTTATCTCGGTCATGTGCCTCAGTCTTCTGCCACCATCTATCTTAGCACTTGGTCCGGCGGCTTTGTTGTCACACCAAAGGTCCGCAGGCAACAGAGTACATGACAATATTAGGCTGATTGAGTGTTCCAATCCTATCAGCTTCTGACTTGCATTACACATCGTCACGTATACTGCCTTGCAGGTTGAGATTGCAACGTAATTCTGTTTTCTTATTTTCCAAGCAACGGTATCACTATTCAATCTTATGAGGTATCCTTCTGTTATAATTAAGAATTTACAGTCTGCCAAACTTGCATCTGAAAATGCTTCCAGTCTGTTTTTCTTGCCTCTGTAGGTTAATCCCAGAAATCTGGTGTGTTGCAGGTATCGAAAGACTTGTTTGACCATTCTTTAGTCATCTTCAGTTAAGCAAATTTGGTGTCTGCTTAGTACGTTCACAGATTACGAGATGTTAGGTCTAACTGTATTATCCAGATACAGCAGGCTTCCAACTGCTTTTCTGTAGGGTGCATTTTTTTCAGTTTTAGTTTTTTTCTGTTCTCCAGTTTCTTCCAATTATTATTTGTCTTTTCTTTGCCGATTCAGGACTTGATTTGTCACCATTGGTGTTCTTTGTGGTTTTGAGTTGTTAAATCCAAACCTTTCCAGAACTTTGTCTATGTATGGTGTTTGTGTAAATGAAATTGTATTATGTTTTTTATCTCTTTCCACTTTAAAGCCTAGAAATGTGCCAATTTCGTCAAGATCTGACATCTAAAACTCAGATTGCAGACCAGTCTTAATTTCATTTATTTTGCTTACACAATTGCTGGCTATTATCATATCATCTAAGTATAAGATCAGGACTGGAAAGTTATCTGCTTTTCTCTGTGTATAGAGACAGGGCTCGTTCGTATGTGATTGTAGTCTCAACTTAGATGCAGTCTCGTAAAATCGCTCATTCCATCTTTTTGGGCTGATTTTAAGTCCATAAAGAGCTTTATTCAATTTACAAACCTTAGCTTTTTCGAAACTGTTGCCATCAAGCAGGCCTTCAGGAATCTCCATGTTAATCTCTTCTTTGATAGATCTATTTAAGAAAGCTGTCTTGACATCCAGTTGGCAAGTCTCCAGATTATATCTTTTAATTATTGATATAACTGATCTTACAAGAGCTAGCCGAGACACCGAGGGGTAGGTTTCTTGAAGATTGTACTTGTTCCTATCCTTAAAACCACGAATCACCAACCTCGCTTTAAACATCGTGTTTTAATCTTTGCCTATTTTTATCTTTCAAACTCATGTAGAGTTAATGACGTTTGGCTCGCCTCCTTCAGCGTTTATGGTTGGTCTTTCTACAAGTTTCCACACTTGGTTTTTCCGCAGTGATTCCAGTTCTTCGTCAGTTGCTCTGAACCATTTATCGTGATCTGAAGATGCGACATCTTCTTTGTAGTTTGCGAGATCTTTTTTCAGTCCAGCAATCAGGGCATGTGTCATTTCATTTTCTACTTTTGCGATCAAAAAGTCAACATCGACCTTCGATTAAAGCAGTTGATCCAACTTGTTTGTGTCAATGGCTTCTGCAAAGCTCGTATCATTTATTCTAGTGGGTTGCTTAGGATTTTTTTGACCACGCTCTCTAACTTTCTTGGGCCAACCGCACTTTCTATTGGCTACCGGTTCTCCCTCTGTTTCCAATGACTCTCAAGGGCTAGTCTTATCAAACTTAACGAACCTTTCATATTGTTTAATATCTGTCTTGTGGTTCTTCCAGTTTGCTATTTTGTCTTTTCCCCAGATATCTCTGAGTACGAGTCTTTCTTGGAATTTCACGTCTCGACTCTCATAGAATTTTCCATATTTATGCCTAGGGTGATTCCGAAAGAACATAGAAATATATGTGTTCAGTTTGTGATGATTATTGGAATTGTTAGTTATATTTTACAGTATCTTTTCTTCTAAATCGTATTGCGCAGAAAAAAAAAATGTGTTTTTTAGTATATACGACTAGTTAAGAGGGAAAGATGGGCCGTATGTGAGCCAGGTTGTACGAGACAAGAAGGAAAAAAAAGAATAGTGTAGGTCTCGACACAGTAGGCCACAATCTACAAGACTGAGAGAACTCTTTGACTGGGCATTGAGAGGGAAGGATGTAGCATGTGCGCCATCAAGACATCATCTAAACTTTGTCTGTCCATCCATCATTGACAGCATGGCTGGAGACGGTGCAGTCACGAGAGGCTTGAGGGCAGTGGTCAACATAACAGGAACACTACGCCAAGATTAATCCTGGAGATGGTTTGTCTATAGGTATATTAGCATGGTGGTAGGTAAGGTTAGCAACTGGTGGGAAAGTGCAGTAGAGGAAGTTCATATGTGGTGTCAAGAGGAACATTGTTCGCGAATACACTTTGTGTAGAGGGTAAGGGTAAAAAACGGGTGCGGAGATGAGCATTTGTGATTGTGCATGTGAAGTGTTTCTGGATGTTAAAAATAAGAGTGATGAGTGTAAGTAAGGGGTCAAGATTGCCAAGAGAGAGAGAGGGAGATAGCGAGAGATTAAGAAATAAAAGTAAGATTAGGTTCCCTGGGAGGTAGATGCTTGGGTTATGAAAAAGTGCTTTGTGGGTGCGACCACTTGCTTAGAACAAAATAAAATATCTCAAGGTAGAAAAATGCAAGAAGGTAATGAAATTGCTAATCTAGAAAGAACATAGTTAAGTTCAGAAAATAATAACCTGACCTAAAACTGAATAAGCTTTTACCATTTATTTCTTTAGTAAAGGAAACTTCTTGTTATTGATTCCTTCTTTGCTAAAAAGGAGTACAAATGGAAAAATATTGTTAAAAGTTCAAAAAACAGAGGTTGCTTATCATAAAATCTAATATCTTAAGACAAAATAATGCTTAAAACTCTCCTAATTTTTGGTACTTAAATTGCCAATTTAGGGAAACTGAAGTTGCGTTTTAAAAATGATAAATTAACCTAAAATTAAATAAGGTTTTGCCATTTAGCTCGTTAGTCAATGAGACCGTTTGTTGTAAGTTTTTTGATAAGAAATGCCTACAAAAGAAAGAATGTTGTCGTTTTTATGTGCAATTATATTACATAACGTATTTTTAATGTCTTTTAAGTTCAAACACAACCTTCAACGTCAAATATTAATATACTTTTGAGAAAATAGTTTTCATGGTGTCATTATAAATTACATAAAAAAACAGAAATTCTTGACAACCATTAAAAATTATAGTTCTAAGTTCAATAACATAGATTGAGGAGAATGTTGCGCTGTGAGGCACGCCGACGCACGTATTTTAATAGAGTGGCTTAAGTATGGTTTTGCGTACCAAGATTGGAAAATATAATTAGTTAAAAGGAACCACTAGACTTGGCAGCTGCCCACTCAGTTAGCTTCTAACAAAATAATGCGCTTCAGGGGCACTGTAAGGCGCTCTGACGCACGTATTTTGCCAGAGTGACCCGAGTACGGTTATGCGTACTAAGAATGGAAAAATAGAATTAGTCAAGAACGCTAAAAGGAAAAAGTATTATCCTCATGCCGGTGCTAACTACAGGACCAGTGGTATCCCTCTGAAGCCTCCAAAATTTGTGTGTTACGTCGTCTTGACGAATTATTCTAGTCTAAGCTTGTGCTTAATAACTCGGGATTCGCACTGGGCGCGTAGGTGAGACGTGGGGCTAAACGGTAGCTTAATCTCTTGACAGGGCGTCCAAAGGATAAGCCTGACTGTCCTTATCAAATTAAAGCGATTATCACTCTTTCGCGGTGTATCTCTCATTCGTTAGAAATATCTAACGCAATGGTGTCAAACTAGTGTCCCGTCCGCAATCTAGAGGTTAAAGGTAGTTACGCCCTAGAGTTTACGCTAAGGAAAAAACAGTTTGAGTTAACGACCGATCTGTTAGCCACCAATACCATCCAGAGTAAATGTGATTGCTCTGGATTTATATAAAGGAAGAAAGTATTAGATTAAGTTCGTGATCGATCTAGGAGCCACTAAAACCATCCGAAGTGAAAGGTGATTGCCTTAGATTTACGCGACTTATGAGTATGAGTTCGCGATTGATCTATGAGCCACCAATATTATTCGAAGTAAATGTGATTGCTTTACATTCACGAAAAACACTCAATTACTTATTCTTGCGAATTTAAAGCTTATTGATGCGGTAATAGGCAATTATGCAGACTTTGCAGCAAAAGAGAAAAACACAGTTAACTATTTTAATACTTTGAAAATTCTTACTTTCATTTGGAGTACTAGAATGTACGCGCGGAGAACCAACGAAAGGTCTCCTAGGTTACAACTTTTGAATCTGCACTTGTGGACGACCATGTAATAGCACAGACAGACTCTAACTATTCAGTCAACCGTTTGAGGCTAAAATTTGAACTGTACTGTGCCTCGCCTCGCAGTAGACTAAGTTATAGCAGATGCAGACTTTTATTACTCAGTCTACCTTGAAGGGCTATTGTCGACTCCTTTTCTCGGGATCTCCGGATTTTTTTTTTTTGGAGTAGCGGACCTCTGCAACGCGCTTGATCGAGACGACGCAGGAAAATTTGCTGGAAGAATCTTGAAGGGGAAAGACAACAGCCAAAGATCTAATTGTCTAGAGATGCTCTAGTTCAGCCACTCAAAAATTGACACATCTTACATCCGGCTTATTCTCCTCCGTGCGTCGAGAGAAGGGAAGGAGATTCACTTACTTATGCCCTTTCTTTCTCCTTTACATTTGAATTTTACAAAAACTTTAACTTGACTTAATATTACTGTTAAAATAAAATACTGTTAGTACTCACTCATGCTGGACACTGTTTATTTATTCAATTAAACTTGACTCGGACAGAACGGAGAGAATCACTTGATATTTAAATTAATTCTAGGGCGAATACGCGATTGGTGTACTACAGGACATCAACTAATACTTAAACAAAAATAACGTTGGCCATTGTTATAACAACTTATAATGATAACATAAGTTTAATAGTATGATAAAAATAACAATAATGATAATAATAATAGTAATTATGGTAAAAGTATATATAATTATCAAAGTAAGGGTAGTGGTAACAATATAAGTACCTTGCCTTTTGCAACTTAACATAATTGAGCTAACGGGTAGTTTTACCTGATTATGACATTGTAAAGATGATTCAGAATTTCAGTAAAAATTTAGTTAATATGTTATTCCCTTCTAGTTATTAAAGAGGGGGTCAGCGTGTAGTGATCTGGGGATTTGAAATTCCGTTACTTATATTGGAGCAGCCGCACGGACTCTTCCCCGACACATGTGAGTCAAGGAAAGGGGAAAGAGCTATTTGTAATGATTAGCTTGGTTTTCCCGTTTTCTCTTACATGTTAAACAAGTTTTAAAATTTGGGCTATTACCGATGGTATATAAAAAAATTTGAGAATGTAAGAAAAAAAAGGTAGCTTGACTAGTTATGCATCTATGAAAACTAATAAAAAGTTAATGATGTTGTTGTATGTATTATTATTTTTCTATACGTATTCACTCTACGTAACACTAATTTTCAATATCGTACCAAGTTGTGCCAGCATTTAGTATTGCACCCCAGCTTAGCTGTTCCCAGTTGGAGTTTTTGCCTCTATTTGTTTTTAAAGCTATTTTATGTGTCTGTATAGAAAAGTATTTCATTATCTTATTCACTTTTTGTTTCTGATCAGTATGAGCCAAGGTGCATTTGCACGAATCATAGTTGGTCGATGAGCTGCTGCTACGAATGGAGTTTGTTGGTGATTTATCGGTCCCTTCACTTATCACTTGGACATTAATTGGTGTACTTTCACTATTAAAAATGTTAATGTCAATTTTAAATCCTCGTATTTTATTACTTTGCATTAGGATCCTAAAATTTGAGATTTTCATCATCATTTTTGGTGTTTTTTGAGGTTGGGTGAAAACTCTGACGTGACGGAGCAATGTGGACCCCAAATCCTAATTCAGCACCTTAAAATACATAAATAATATATATTACTTATTGGCGTAGTCGTAGCTCAGTTGGCTAAGGCGCAAGTCT